GGGGAACACCCTATAGTGATACGATTTCTCACATACGCCGAAAACTCCGCTTCTCAATCCTCCGCACAACCCTCGCCGCCATCCGAGGACACAGAGGAAGAGCAGTCCAATGGTGCGACGACACGAACAGCGACATCAACCTCATACCAGGATGGACTAGTAATATGTGTTGATATTATCTTTATATTTTCAAATTGTATTGTATATAATAATTTTACACTTTGACCGTTGGGAGCGGTACCGTCAATAAATTCGATTAATCCTCAGGTTCTACGCAGTGCCTAGCCTAATAATGTGCTCGTTCGGCTGCCTCTCTCAAGTGACGACCTCTGCCCTGGCCATCGTCCGTATGATCTCAATATTCTGCCCATTTCTCCACATCCCCCAGGGGGTGTTCCTCTCCTACATCACTCTCTACTCCTTGCTTATGGCTGTCAACAACTTCGGGTTTGCTTTCTGTCAGTTTTTGGAACTCACCCCTTCGGTACGTTACATTATTATTCTCACGGTGGACTGTTGCTACTGGTTGAACATCGCTCAGTGTATCCTGGGAATAGTAGCTTCATTTTTGACCACAGGCAGAATCTTCTCCAAGAGAGGAGCTGAGGCTGACTCGAGAACAAGAAGCTGCTGGATCATCCTTATCATGAATCTTCCTTACTGCCTGTCAGCCATCAACTTTATCTATCCAAGACTAATCTAGCAAGATATGGATATGTTTATCTGACCTTCGTCATCGTACCGTGTTTCACGTCCATGTTGAATCCGATAGTTGTTGTATTTCTTAACCATAAGATCAGAGTATTCACATGGTCGTTGCTACAAGGAAATGGCGTACGCGTGGGTCCCGAGTATGAAACAAACTCCTCCAGGGTGACTACACGGATGAAGAGCAGAGAGGAGGGAAACCGGAAGCCATTCAAGTGCATACTGTAAATAGCCGAGGACCATTAGTGAAATATTAATGAGGTTGACTTCCACTCTTCCAGCAGCGATTTTCGATAAGCGGACCGAATACCTACCCGGACCCCCAAACTGTATACTCCTGATAGAGATTCGTTCCAGTGGGAAATAGGAATCGAGTCCGTTTGGAGGACTGAATATCTACCACTATGGTTACTGTAATAACCATATTAAACGGTATATGTGAACGTCAGCATGCAGGACACTAGACAGATTTTATCCGTATTTGGTATTAACTATTATCAAGTGTACTTATTAAATGTTTATGAGCCATTAGACCCTCTGGGCTCTGACCCTACCAGCTACCAGCTATACCTATACGCCGCGTGAGGTGTCACGTGACACGATACAAGATGCAGTCTTTGACCCTAGCTATAAGACGTTACGTAACGTGTTACATGATTGGAAATATTGAATGTGACTATCTCTCATTCACTTGCTTTGAAGAAGCCAACACATACGAAAAGCAATTTCTTATGAAAGGAGCAATTTCTTATCTAAGGATACCTTTTATACAACTCGATTAATTAATGAACTTAAATCCGGCCAGCATTGATGAGATCCCACGATGGCACGATTTCTTCATAGCTCATCATTGACAGGGCTAGCTATGATTTGTCAAAGGATGATTGTGTATTGTTTATTGGAATTTAATTTTGTTCATCGTTTTATCTTGCTACACGATGCATATCCTTTTTACGCGCGAAAAAGTATATGCAAGTTTTAATTGTGTCTTATCGTATATATTTGATAATGAAACTGAAAGCTGTTTTATCCTATTTTGATCAAAGTATTTACGTGCTGCTTATATATATTTATCAAACAAACAAGCGTGCTTAATCAATTTTTACATACACTGGAACAATTTGAGATTTTTTCTAAAACATTTAAGGATTCTAAGTCTCTTGGCCTAACTGGACGGATGGCCTAACGCCTAAAACCATGAATTAGGCCATGAGACCAGTTAGGTCAAGCGACCGTTTTGAGGTCTGATGGCCTAATACTACTTTAGATCAGAGTTTAGGCCACCAGTCCACTTAAGGTCGCATATAACTGGACTGAGTGGACGGATGGCCTACAGTGTGATGCGAACCGTTTGATATATTCGATATTTTGTTGCAATGAAATATGTTATTGATTTGATTATCATAAATTAATTCTATTTTAATAAGCTTGTTGTATCACTATCTAATTCTAAATAAACATATATACAGTGTGGGCCAAAAGTCAGTACACATACGTTGGGTCTTATACCTCCGCCGTGTTTTATATTTGAGAGTTGTTGCTTTGCAGATGGCATACTGTACCTACTTGTGCACCCCGACGCGCACAGATGGGACCTCCTTTGGACGTTTTTATTGCTTATTCTGATAGGAAACCTTTTGTAGCCGAATGAAAATTATAATTTTTTATTAGACTTATCAATAATGATACAGTCCGCTTTTAAATTGTTTAATTTACATGTACAATAAAAATGTTGTGTCTTTACGTTATGTAAGTTTGACAAAGCAATAGTTTAAATAAGTATCTTTGTAAAAAGATTCACAAAAAAATAGAAATTTTGGTGATTGAAACAGTCATAACTTGAGTAATTTTTATAGTAGAATCATGAAAATCTTTCTAGCCGATATCTGTGAAAATTGCCAACGCGCTGGTTTTAAAAGCCGCGCACAAATGACACATTTGCGTTTGATTGTACGAACGAAACTGTTTGCGGAGTAAAATTCTAATTCTGCTTGTATTATTGCGTGACGTCAAATAAAAGAAAACACACTGGAAAAAGATGATGTTAAAAGAAGTCTTAAATTGCTGAAAAGTAAATACATTATTTGTAGTATCGACAAAGCTTCTGGTAATTTTTCATTTATTTGTAAAAAGTTTTATGTAAAAACTCTTGTCAATGAAATGGGTTTTGATCCTAATACTCTAGAATGTATAGGTAATGATACATATAAACCCTGTAGCGAAGACGAGACTCATTATGTCAATAAAATATCTGAGAGTCTAAAGGAGAGATTTAATGTACAAGTTGAAGATAAAAACTTGCGACTAGCACGCATCTTCTGGAACCCTAAGCTTCATAAGAACCCTTACAAGGCGAGGTTCATTGCAGGTGCCCGTTTTTGCGTTACGAAACAACTTAACGTCCAAGTTAACTGTTGTCTGAAACTTTTGAGGAAATACTTCAAGAAATACTGCGAGGCAATCTACAACAACAGCGGTATAAACATGTTTTGGAGCATAGATTCCTCAAGTGAATTCCTTGAAGCTATCAAAAATAGCGATGTTTATAATATACAAGTATATGATTTTACTACTCTTTATACCAGATTAGACTTGATTGAAGTAGAGAATATGATTAATGAAGTTGTTGATTTAATATTTTCAGACCGTAATAGATATATTTGTATTTCTAAAAGAGACAGTAATACATGTTTCTTTTCCAATAAAACCTATGATTCTCATGCCTGCTTTAGTCAAGATGACCTAAAAGAGGCTGTTAAATTTATTATTTATAACACTTATGTCGTCTTCGGTGGGATTGTATTCATACAAACCAAGGGTATTCCTATGGGTGGAAATTCAAGTTCCCCTATAGCTGATCTCACTGTTGGCAAAAAGGAATTTAATTATATGAAACGTTTACTTCAGGAAAAGAAAATGGGATTAGCAAAGATATTATCCAATAATAAACGATATGTTGACGATTTATCTATTATTAACTACCTTTACTTTCATAAATTGATTAAAGATATTTATCCTAATTCATTGGAGATGGAGCGAGCTGGTTCCAATAATAAAATCATTAACTACCTTGATTTAAATATTAATATTTCCACAGAAGGACTAGAAATATCAGTGTATAACAAAACTGATGATTTTAATTTTCATGTTGTATCCCTTACATTTCCTCACAGTAACATCCCAACCGAGGTTGGCTACAACGTTTTTTCAAGTCAAGTTCTTAGATATGGTAATGTTTGCACTAGATTGGATATCTTTACCTCCCATCTTCACAAAATATTCAAAATTCTAATTGATAGAGGATATAGCCGTGATAGACTGATTAAAGGCATTAAACGTTGTCTGAGGAAATATGATAACGTTTTCAGGAAGTTCGGTATTCTAGATGACCGTAACATTATTAAAGAACTCCCCTGATATCTTTTGATTTATTGAAACACGGGTACTAACTCTGCTAAACTGAACAAATTCTGAAACTTAGGTGAATAAGTGTACAACGTGCTAAACCGAAGTTCAGACTGACCAGTGAAAATGGGCGAGCGTACCAAGTGTCATTTTAATTAGAAGTTTTAGTCAGTGATTTATTATTGAAGCTTGTAATTACAATATCTAATGCTCCTATAAATACTTTAATTAATTGTTTGTCCCGTTATTCTTTTTCCTTCCTCTTTTCCTTGTCATCCCCTTTAGTTTTAAGATTCTTGCTATAAATGGCTACAGCTAACACTATTAATGCTAAGTACCAAACAACAAGTGGGAGGTGGATCGTTGGTACCATTAAATCGATTTAACACCGCAATTCCAGTCGCAAGCCTGGGACCACTACTAGCATAGTCACAACATCTACAAAGCTGCCATATAGCCTGACTGACAATTTTCTCGACTGACTGACAATGTTTCTTCTTTTTCCCCATTTAGAATACAAAGATTAGTACATTTTAGCTTATGATTAATATTATATTTTTACCTATAGTTTACTTAGATTTGACATTAGTTGTGGTCGCGAACTTTCTTCTCACCTTTGGTTTTTTGTCTTGGAGAGCATCATTGTATAGCCAATACACAATACCTTCATTATTCCATTGTATAGTTTATTCTTTCATCTAAACTTGATTAGACCATAATTATAAGACTCTTAGCTGTTAGCCTACCGTTCGCGAGGAGGGCTAAAATAATATATCTGGTATAACTTACATTTTGAAACTGGGACTGAAGGTCGGGGTGTTACTATTTCATATTTTGTTTTATTTGGTTGTTATTTCCATTTTATTATTATTCATAAATTTTAACGTTTAACTTTAACAAGCAAGTTTGGACGCCAGAAAAGACTGTGGACTAATTGATCACTCGGTAAGTTTTTGGTTATTTGTACCTTTTTATCATGTAACAACATTTTGATTTCAGCAAATTTTAGTTAAAGAGTAAATCAAAGTTTTAGTTAACAAGTTACCAATTATTGAACTCAACTACACTTAGATTCGGTGTTTAGGATTATATTAGTTAATATTTCCCGCGTTGGCAGCCGTTATAGTAGTAACACTAATACCATCACTAATACTATTTTCGACACCTTTCTGTGATGAAGATAATCATATTACATTAGACAAGTTCAAGAAACCATACAATGACGTTTTAGTAAAGCACCTTTTCGATGCGTTTCAGGGTATTGTTGTATATAAGGAACTCTTTTTAAAAGCGACAACAATGGAGGAAATAAAAAGTGGCAAGATTAATTCTCAGAAATCAGTAATTCAGTTGCAAGGGGAACTCTTGGACATTAAGATTAAAGAGCTAGATTCAGTCCAGGGAACTGTTGAAACCGCTGTAGAAAATACTGTTCAAGCTGAGATTAGGTCTTACAGTGCTGCTGTGTCAAAAAACTCCCCCAGCTCTGCCTCCACGGCAGAGAACTTGAAGAAAGATAAATTAAATTCAATTTCAGCAATGGCCAATTGGCTGACTATAAGGTCATGGCCTGAACAAACAGGCACATTTCTAGACAAATAATTTTAGTGAGATTTAAATACCCACGGATCAAGGAATAGAAAATTTCTTGTAAATTGTAGGAATCAAATGGTTAGTAAGGTTAAAATCATTTATTCCATAAAAAACACAGTCACGACTTGACCTTAATTCTGTGACTTGAACAAACATTTTACTCTGGAAAAGTCAACCAATTAGTGTCTAAACGTGTCTTTTAGCATTCCTCGTTAGCTTTATGGTTGCCTGCAGCTCGTACGGGAAGGGCTCCCCGTGGTGGTTCATGTAAACGTCTAGGGATTGCCTGCAACATGTAAGAGTATTAGTGTGGCCGTTGGTCTTACACAAATTCACCCGTAGGGCGCTTGGTAGATTTATTAAACGAATATGAATACAGTAGAATACTAAAATTTGCGTGATCTTATAAAATTTTGGTATGCGTAATAATGCTTTTAGTTTACATATTTTAGTTTTAATAATGAATAAATAATGACTGTAGTCTTCACTTAAATATTCGCAGTCTTAATTTGTGCTTTGTTTACCTCTTTGTTTTTGTTCGAGCCTTTTATTAAATCGAAGTTACAGTTCACGAGGTTGATCCTTTGGGAGATATTAAATCCTGTCATAGGAATTGGGTAAATCGAATCGTCCTCCTGAATAGGGCTTAGCAGTCCCACGAAAGCTGGCTCCTTCTTTATTTTGAGGGCAACTGTCAAGTGTGCAAGGGAACCCTCTACCTCGTATACGGATGCGGTCTGGGCTCCATGGTGATGCTGCCTGAGTAAAGGTGATAGTTGGTTTGCAAGACGTCATTAAATCTAAGTAATGTGTTTTAATGTGCATACTCATTGTTCATTACCTTAAGGTCAGTGTACTTAAATCGTACCTGTGGAGTATACCATGGAAATTTTCCGTGTCTATGCTTGAGATGGCCCTCGCTGCATAGCCATTAGGGCATGCTCCGTACAGCTGCACACGAGCTTGGATTGCCGCTAACGTTGCTTCAAAAAGTTCCTGCGATTATTGCATGAACTTGAAATAAGTACCGATTACAATTTGATTTCTCATTAAAACTCATTAATCTATACCGAAATCATTATCTTATCCCAATTGCCAGCTAACCAGTCTGAAACCTACCACTGGCATTCCTTTTTTTTGTGGGATTCCGCTGTCAATCATCCCCTGGTCCTGATCGTCTTTAAACAAAGGAAGCGTGGATCCTAAAGGTGGAAATTTTGTTGTGTTCACGAAACCCATCAATGTGTTCCAGAGGGTTAGCCAGCTTTTCAGACGATTTTCAGCTGTTATGTGGCGGTCATCAACGGATATAAGGTAATCATAACATTGTTGGGCCCAGTCAGCTTCGTTGTAGAACCTAAATGAACCATATAACTATAAGTAAATTGTTATACCATGTCAAAGTTCTCAGATTTTTGAACGTTAGGTTCGACTAACTATTATTCGACGTCAATACATCTCCTTATTTGCAGGACAAGTTTTGGGTGGTTGTTTTATGCGTACTTCCAGTTAGTTAAAAAATTTCGTCTTACCCATTCTCTCTCATGACACACTGTACTTTCGGGGAAAAGAATGTCCGTGTTTGCCGGATAGACATTTGGTCCTTTCCTCCCGCATCTAACATGGATCTAGTGAGGTTAGTGGCTGGTCGATGAGTCACTGGGTCTTTGGTATCTGCTGCTACTTGCCAGGCTGTCGGATTTACTCCAGGGATTCTTCCCGAGTACGTGAACGTCCTCAGCCTGTTTGTTATTGCTTCATTTATGAAAATATGGGAATTTACAAATATATTTGCTTTCAATGTAACCAAAAATATATTCCTCCCACTCTTCTAAGTTAGTAGAAACAAGTATCTGAATGTTTACAATGTTACGTGCCCTACGTGATCAGATAAACGTAAACCTGTTCAAGTTGTGGGTATAGTCAAGAAGACTCCAGAGGGGTTTGTCACAGACTTGTGGAGGGTTGTAGAATACAACCCCAAACAATTTGTTCATTTCTTCGTGGTATTCATTTTTGTTTAGGAAACTATCGTACTTCTCTCCGAACGTCATGTACGCTAGTTCCTGTCTCCAAACCGCAACTCGCTGGACAGGGTAGTGCTTGTCTATCAGAGACCTGCAATTTCAATTGTTTACCAGCTCTAAATCCACACCAAAAAGTTGTTTTTTCGTGTCGATAAGAATTTTAGTGTCCGGATTTTAGTATATGGCACTAAAATATTCAATCGTATAATATGAACTATCAATTGACTCACCGATATCGTTGTGGCAAACTAGAATTAACTCCTTTTAGTCTTTCTTGGCAGTTGATCCTAAAAAATATCCTTGACTTGAGCACAGTAGCGATTATATTTGATTGTGAGTACAATTTAAACAACTGACGCCAAGCTTCTTTTTAAAAGAATATTGCTTGTTTTATGTCGCTCACCTAAGTTGTGTAACTTTTTCAAGTGCTAGTAACGTCAGTCTTGGAACCTTAGATGTCTGTTCCCTTTGTTTTTCTCTCTCCAGATAAAACTTGTTTCTCACTTCCTCTACAGTTTTAAGCTCTTTGACTGTTTTCCAGTGCTGTTTGGCAAGCTGGATTAAAGTTTGAGGTTCTCCTTTCATTCCAGTCGTCACTCTAGGGTGACTTTTGCCGTCAAAGGATGAGGCTACAACGTCAAGACCACGCCTTTTCAGCTCGTTGAGAACGTACTCGGTAACCGCTTTGTCGATTTCACATCCCAAGTCAGTGGCAGCAGGATACCAAAATACTGGAAGTGAAAACATGACATTTGTAGTTATTTGAATATTTCGATCGGAATATTGAGCAATTTCAAATCGAAACTTATGAATAATACATGTTAAAATCTAGAATATTCTCCAAAATGTATTATTCTTACTTGGAAAATATGTCACGTCACTTGCTTCCCTCATTACGTCTGCTAAGGTGTAGATCATAATAGTGCAAGCTTTTATCAGCGTGTAGCTGTATGCATCTTCTCGACTTTGTCTCAATGCTTCAATTAGAAACGTGCCACTAAGACCTGTTTGGGTTAATGATGTTCGTAATGAAACATAGTATGAAATTATATTTAGTTACATAAATATACTATTTAATGAAACTGTCATTTAAGGACTCAAATTTTAAAATAGGTGATTTAATTCTTCTCTTATTTTAACCTAATCTATCAACAATTGTTGTTGGGCAGAAATTGTAGTTTGAGTTTCTGCATGGTAGAACATCTCCTCGAGAGAAGGTAAGTAGTGGAAAATCCCCCATGTGTCGAGCTTCCTTTACAAGCTCCTCTAGTTTAGATCGCAGATCCCTGATTGATTTGGGCAAGCTTTTCTTTATCTCCTTAATGCCCTGTTAGTATAGTGACAATGGGTTAAGAACCAGAAGTTAGCTGTTAATTGTGTAGGCAAAATTCGGAATAATGTGCTCTTGTCTTATTTACGAATATCATTGAATTAGCTATTAATAAAAGTTTTACTACATACCTCTACTCCAGAACAGAAATATTGCCTGATAACTTGTAAGACCTCTTTTAGGATATTTGGTTTTATTTCCACTTCCCATACGCGCATGAAACAATCGAACCGGTCGATTTCAACAACAATTCCTTTTGGTGGTTTGAAAGGATCTTCTGCATACTGTAAGATAAAATGATTGCTACAATCTTTTATTAAACTGTTTATCACAATGAGCTGAACTTTGATTTGAACCAAGAATTAACAATTCATTTATCATTAACATTAATTATTCGCCAAACTTTTTACTTAAAAACTTTGTTTGGAGCTCTAACCTGACGTTATATTACAAAGCAGTATAATTGAATCTATTGAACGAATTGTAAATACCTGCAGGAATGCTGCCATCTGACAGTATAGCATAGCTAAGTCCTCAGCCCTTGGGGTCTCCTTATAGGCATCTGTCTTCGTTATGTGGATTGAAGCCTTTATGACCGGATTCTCTACAGAGCCGACCATCGAAGCGTCTGCGTGAGCCACAAAACCTGGCCCACTTAATGCGTCTTTTCTAATAACACCTGAACGAACTCTATTCATTTTTGTCACTTCTAATAGAAAGGTTTTTGATTAAAATATTTCCCGCACACACTACTGTCAACATAAAAGACAATCTTACCAAGCCCCTCCTGGATGAGCACTAGATCTTGATAATACTCTGGCATCACTAGATGTGTAAGGGTTGTTACAGCTTGTTTTCTCTGCTCAGAGAATATTTCTGAGTCGTCAAAAAGATGTGAGTCGTTGATATCTCCCACGGATTCATCCTGAATATTGCTCTTGATTGATATTCGAATATTTTTAACCTACTACCGCGCCGTACCAGCTAATTCGATTTCATTGAAATTTAAACTCACAATAAAGAATATAATAGTGAGATATAAATAAAAATTAATCTAAACAATTTAATCTAACATAAACACAGTTTCCTGGAGAAGAACATAAACAATCGGTAAATCATAGACATGTATCCAGCATTAATAGTTTAAGTTATGTATCTGAGCATTTTTAGATTTACCTCGTCTTGATCTTGTACCGGCGTATTTATATGTTGAACACTGGCTGCTTCAGCCACTGTTCGGAAACCCAATGCAGCAGGTACTTGACTCTTCTTCAACAATGCGTTGTTAATTGTTGAAGTAAACTGTACGGATGTCTCAGATAAATATCTCATGTCGCTGCAAATAAGGCAATAAACATTCAACGCCTTAATGAGTAAATTTAGTGTAAAAAGGGCGTTAAATAATTTAGTTTATTTAAAAAAATTTTTAACATGAGTAAGGGAATCATGTATTGAGTAAGGGAATCATGTATTGCCTTTTTAATCTTAGTTTATGAGAGTTAAATTCAGTGATGGTTAGTGTCTCGCGATTTTGCATACATTTCATTAAATCAACAATCAAAGATTGCACACGAACCAACTTTGGTAAAATTTGATATCATTTGGATAGAAACTAGAATTATTACTTACTTATCTCCGTTAATGTTGTGAGGGTTTAAGAGGTAATATGGTCGCGACCGTATATCCTTGAGATTTACTGCATAACTTATCATCGCACCAGATTTGTACCGACGGTGTTCTAAAATGTATTTTATTTACCAAGATAAAAACTTCATTTTATTGGTTAATCTAAATTTAAAACGATCAAGTTAATATTTATCCGTTTTTTCTCAAATATATTGTGGTTACACAATTATAACAAGAATAAAAGTAAATTTGCTTTTATCGAAATTACTTCTCTATGGGAGTAAGGAATGGTCAGAAGATGTGATGGTCCCGTCTCGTTTGACAAAACTCAACATATAATATTAAATGGCAATCAGCAAAGTTCTCATAGATGCTCAAATATAAGAAAAATGAATTGAATTTTTTAATGTGAATAAACTTTATCTACATATATCTTCAGAACAGTTGAAGATGGCGGCTTCAAGTTACTTTATAGGGCTGGATTTGTCTGATAGCGGTTAGTTTAAATAGTTATACACTTTTTTATACCTCTCAACATTCTCAAATCGTTGTTTAAACTTTTTAAAATATATTTGTTAAGATTATGATTGATGAATAATTTATATTTTATGTTACTGGTTATTAATGCCTCATCAAAATATTTTCCAGGACTTCAAGACGAGTCGCGGTAAGCCACATTTATAAACTATTGAGAGTAAATTTATAAGACAAACCTGCATACTCTTGCCGTTTTGCAAGCTGTCTCGAATATAGATACGCCGATTTTGAGTCACCGTCATCTGCCTTCCGTTTTAGGTTTCTCATGTAGCCTGTGCTACGTTGCTCTAAAGCCTCTGATTCATTATTATAGTCGAATTCTTCAAGACAGTACTCTGTTGGAAAGTATTTGATTTACTGACTATGATTTTTAACTCAATGAAATTGAATTTTTGTACAAAGCACATGCTTATGCAATTCAGGCCAGGTAAACTCCAATATGAAACTGTATTACCAAGAAAAGTCTAATAATAAATTTTATTGCAATACGAACAAACCTGTAAAATCAGAGGGGTACAGATAGGTAGGAACCAATACAGAATTTAATTTCCCCATCCTCTCAAGGTGAGCAAACTCTTTCTGCTTCACTTTCTCATAAGACTTATGACCCGGGTATACAGCAGCTCCCACTCCGTTGACTATCCCCGCCTTGCACTATAGTATAATACATATGTTTATTAGACAGTGGGATATTCCAACCTGCTCTCTGAGCGTAGGGTAAAAATCATGCCCAATATGACATGTTGATCGTTGCAACAGTCATAACCAGTTATATTTATGACCAACTCTTTCATTTTTTATTTCAGAAACCAAGATTTAGAGCTAGAGGATACTAACAATAACAACGGTAAACCTATTTTATTTTTTTAGCTGACATATATATATATATATATATATTTATGTAGAATATAGATATCATTTCTATCCAAAAGCAGAGTTAAAACAGCATTACTTGAATATTTTAGTACAGATTACAAGTACATATTATAAGTACAAAATACAAAATTTTAGTAGGCTGATATAATTAATCTTCCGCAATTGTATGTACTCCTGATAAGAAATTGTACATGGATAATCTGCTAAAACCACCTATATATATATTTCATGATTATATTCATTTTAGTTTAAGGGAATTACAGAGCTAATGCAATGTAATTTATCATGATCATGAGAGATAGTCGCTTCATATCATACCTTTCTCTCATCATTTGACAAAATAAGTTTTTTCCCATTTCCATATTTAGCAATGGCCTCTTCCATCATCCCACCAATAAACCCTGGCTGAATCCTAGGCGGAATGTCAAACTCCTTCGAACCCACGTCGCGAAGGGTTGTATCCGTAGGGACTAGGAACCCGACCTCTCTGATAGTATTTAGGAATTGCTTTCCGAACAGCCTGCAAAACTTAAGATATATGAACAGTTTCGGTAACATAAACTGAGAAATTTCCGGTTTCCTGAACAAAACAATTGAAGTAATATTTAACTTGTATTAAGAATTACCTATAGCAGTATGCTAAGAAGAGCTTTGTTATTCTGGATGCTTGTGGAACTTTTCCCTTCTGGTCGCGACTGACTCTCAATTTTACAGCTTCCAAAAACATTCTTAATGGAAGGAAATCTGCACCAATCTGACTTGAATTTAGCAGAAACTGAAAAGGGGTAAATAGAGTTAAGTTATCATACGTACATTTTACGCTTTGAAAGTTGTTCAATCAATGCAGAATACCGATATATGTCGATAAATTATTGATCCATTACCGCAGCACAGTTATATAAATTTATCGTCGTCTCTAAATGTATTTGACTAATATTTCTCAGTGATTTCAGCTTATTACCTGGTTTAATAAGAAGAGCGTTTCCTTATTCTCCACCCATAGAAACCTTAAGTTCTCTAAATTTTTGGACAGCTGATCCTTCAGCTCATCAAATGACGAAATAGACTTAGGTTGGACTTCTATTGGTTCGGACTGGTTATCAAACGTTTCATCATTCTGAACCTCCTGAGCACGTGCATAATCGCTAGTTGTTTCTTGAGAAGAAACGTCTCCGTTGTCGAAGTCGAATTGCTGAAATACTAAAATACGTTATTATGATGGCTGAACTTTTTCTTGAGGATTGATTTAGCATAACTGTATATTTATAATAATAGAAATTATATTTTAGCATTTAAATGTTTTACTTTGATGTGTTCCACCCATGTATTCGTTCTTCGGTAATAATAATGGTACAGTACACAGTTGTATTAGATATACTGATTACCGCCAACCCCGATATTGCAAATTAGAATTACAATATAACGCTCAGCTGTCTTCATATTGTAGGTGTTAATATAGATTAAGGAAAGTTACCTTCTCGACTTAGTTTATCAGCTACTGTAGACATATCCTCAGTACATATATTTATAAGCTCCTGGGATAGTTGTGCTGGCATGGGACTCTGTAACCGATTTAGTAACAACATGCAACACTCTGTGTTCCCTGTAAAAAAAGATTGATTATTATGTCATAATATGTTCATGATTATAACTTGGCTTATCATACTGGTCATTGTGGTAGTTGATTACCCATTAACCCTAGATCAATTAACCTGTCATCTATCTATTTCGGCTATCTTATATTGTGAAAAGGTCTCAGTTAACAAAAATGAATTGATCCGAAGCTATACCATTTTTGATTGCATCGTGTAAAGCAGTTTCGCCGCATAAATCTTTACGCAAGATGTTTTCGTCAGTCAAATCCTCATCTATAAATGTTTTGACTTGTTCATCATTTCCATCACAGCAAGCTCGCTGAAGTGCAGTGATACTGTGTGCTTGGTTAACAATTTTCATCGCCTCGTGTCTCTGAAAATGAAGGTGCTAGTTATTTCTTTTTATAAACTCCTTGGCCTTTAATAATTAATTCACAACCTGTATACCTGTCCTTTTAAAAATTATGTTATAATTAGTCATGGCTTACTTTCTTGATATTTGGAGTTGATCGTAAATATTTCTTTGCCATACGTGCTTTTGACAAACCACTTAAACTTCCCCCCTTCCTCTTCCGACGTGGTTTTGGCTTTGTGCTTCCATCTGCGACAAAAGAGTTAGGGTTAATTGTGTGCTTGAACTCGGATTATATTTATTTGCTAGCAGACTGACTGAACATTTTTGTTTCATCTTTCACAGGAATTGCAAAGGAAGTTGAAGTTGAAACTAGTCTTCCTGTGGTGCAGGTGGGCAAAAAAACAGTGTGTCCGGTGTGTGACAAAAGGTACTCCTGTCCTGCCAATTTAAGGAAGCATGTACGAAAGGTACACAAGCCGAATTCCGGACACATTCAGTTAAAATACTGCCCTGTGTGTGGTAAAGGCGATAGGGAACAGCATAGGTTAAATGCGCACATTAAGGAAGTTCACCAAAATAACTTTGTTGAGTGCAACCTATGCAATAAGAAATACAAACAGCGTCGTAACTTGTGGCATCACATGAAAACTGCCCACAAGGAGTAGATCAATGTTACACATATTAATAACCCAGTGATGAATGTGACGCAAAATGACCATTAGCTGTAACAGCCTTTTTAATGAGAACTGTCATTATCTGAGGGTGACCAACGTGTAATATAGTACCTATACGGTTATTGTGTACTAAACGGGGTAGTTAGGTTTCAAATTATAGCATTCAATCGCTATATTACATACATTGAACTGTATTATATCTAGGTTAGAAATTCTGCTAGAATGTAAACAGTTAAAATGAAGATAGGTAATTAACAATCATGGTAATATACCTAGCAAACTAACCTGACGGTGGCGTCATTTTATTAAGTTACCAGACAGGTTCCTCGCTCTCTCACGTCATGTCATTAACTATTGTACTGATGGTGATAGGATGTTAACTTTGTTATTGACTATGATAAATTGAAGTATCATTACATTATCAATTCAATTATAAAATTTAACATCATGAATAAAAATGTTAGCCAGGGACCAAAATAAAAACATAAAGCACTTTCAACCATGTGGTAATGTTACGCATATGTTTAAATATATGCCTACTACTTTATTATTTACAACGCACAGAAATCTAACAAATGACGAAATGACTTGAAACAAGTATCCGATGAAATGTCGGTTTCATTACTATCATAGCTCAAAAACAGACCGCTGTTCAAGTCTGATCAAGTATCTAAGATAAATAACATGCACTTATCAGACTTTTAACTGCCACATTAAACTGCCTGATCGTGATTACACTGTAAAAAGTTATTTTAGGATTCAGGATGAAAAGTATATCTATGATTTGAGCAATATTATGTAAAGCTACAATGTCCTTGGGAAAACCTGTCAGTATGTGACATTTATTCCAACAGCAAGTGAAATATCAAACATTACTTTGCAACAGGTGGGCAGTTTCCAAATAAACAAGTTGCTCCCTGCTTTATTTCAAACATATTTAGCTACAATTCTCTCCACGCACACACTGACACACTGTAACCACAACTGCATCAGTCACTAGCCCAGACGTCTTGGTAAATTACACTTATATTTTCTCATGTTATAGACCTCCTTCACATTCGCCGATTCAAATGAAGCATGTATTGTTATAATTTGACAATTTAGAACACCTAAATAACTTTCATTAATATTATTATTATTTCTCCAGGTGAAGAAGAATATCACATCTTGGTTTTATTACATTTGGCAGCCTACACAATACGTAAGTGTTTTATATGAAAGGGTTGTGAATTAAGAATATCAAACGGTGTAGTAATTATTTACATAATATAATAGGAGAGAAAGGGCAATCTTTTATTGTGACTGAAACTAGCAAATTTGGTTAAAATTACAAACAAAGCAAGTAATTTACTCGTGCGCGCTAAAAGTCACGTGCAGTTTTCATACAATAAGCAAATCCCGCTGACAGATGGGTTCCGTAATCCAATATTTAGAGTCATTTATATACTCTCCAGTAATATAGGTTGAGTTATTCAACAATCTTTTAAATATATCCATTTCTCCTATCATGTGCTTGCGAATGTATTTGTAGAACTTATAACTTTATAATGTAGAACTTGATCTCCTGGGATGTGAGAGAAACATCAAACAGGACAGTTGGATGGAAGTGTCCTACGGTACGGCCTGCTACCATTCTTGTACGATGGGGTCAATGTAGGGATCACTTCAAGTTCATGTAGCACTGTGGGACAGAATCAGATACAAGAGACTGAGAGCATATGTGTTGTATTGGAGAAGTTAGATATGCATTGAATTTTAAAACTATCGGATCCAAGGATTCCATCAGGATTTGGGGCGGCTTGAGGCTTAATCAGTCGTCGATAGTGCATTGGCCATGATTTCTTTATGTGGTGGTTTCATAGAGTTGGGGGGGGGGGGGGGGTGGCAACCATATTAAAGTATATCCCCGGGTCAAAATCGGAAAAAATCCTACATTTTATAATATACTTTAATATATACCTACAATTAGTAGATTAGAAGATAAGCCATTTGCTAGTCCCCTGAACTCATACTTCATAAATTTTGGCTCATAAATTGGTCAAGTATCAATATCTTTGAACAAGACTAACTTTACATGAAAGTTAAATCTAATCCATATAATAAATATCCTCCGAGCATAATTACCAGGATAAATCCTGTACCAATCACAGCTTGGTGACCTGGCCTGCCTGCCTCAGACGGGGTTTGAACCCCGGTCTTCTGCGTGGGAGGCGAGTGAAATACCACTACACCACTCTTTTTTAAGAGAAGTGAAGTATAATGATCAGACTCAGAGAGGAATCTTCTTACTCCAAGCACTGCAAGCACTAGTATACCTACATCGGCTGGATCTATCCCTCCCTCCACACTCCCCACTGAGTGTTGCTTGCTATGCAAACACAGTGTTTGTATGTACAGTTTTCGGCTGTTTACTTTAGGTTTTACTTAAATTGCACTGTGTCCGACATGTTGAATAGTGTTTTAATTTGATAATCTCACACTTGTTTTCGTAATCCACCACAGCGCATGATTATAATGTAGGCCATAATATGCTGTATAGTGTATATTATATATGTGGTCTTGGCGTGTTATTTGTGTAGTTTATTGATGTAGAAGTGCAGTGTAAACTGAGACGTAATTTTTCGTAACTGGTGACAAACAAGAATTGGAACAGACGTAGAGTAATTCTTCAAATATCGTAACACTACGACTAGGGTTATATTAGGACACGTTTTTAATACTAAGCTGGGCGCTGAAATAAATAGATTACAGTGTTTTACTGTCTGTTTTTAACTGTCCTCGACTGCATAACGTAACTTTATAGAGTAAAGGTGAATTTCCTTCAGCATTAAAGGGACTGTAAGTCGATTGATAACCGGAAGTGCGATTGTTTTTTATAAACTTGTCGACACGGATCGACCGGGACCGCTTTTTAGCTTGGCCGGGCTCAGAAATAATCAATAAGCTGGGTCTGGGAATGAGGTCGAAACCGGAAGTATATCCTTCTTAATACCATGTACAGTTTTAGCTCAAACAGTCATGTCATAATAATGCGAGTACACCTACCTTATTATTCAATCCCACAGGTCAACTCAAAGAGCAGGCTTAAGTCTTCTTTCTTCTTTTCTCCTGGTCTCTCAATCTCAAAACTTCCGGTTCTTAACACTATCAGTCAGTTTTCTGCGTCAGTACTAAAAATTACACGTGACTGACATTTTCTTAGCATATGATAAGGATGATGGGATTTGATTGGTCAATGCTGGGAGCCAGGGAGCTGGTTGGTTGATCACTATGTGTCAGAAAATGTTTCCTTTCTAATACTCACCAGTATCCAGATCTTCCAGCAATTGATTAGAGGCCAGATTTCACATAAAATGTGATGAATTTGATCTTGGCACCAAATGAAGTACTCAGCACACCTACCCCATACTGTACTCGTGGATTCGTCTGAACGAATTACTTTTAAGCAATAACAGATAATGTCTCACGATTAAAGTATAACCAAAAGTCTTATTGTGGAATTTATGCATTTCTTATAATGATACTTTCAACTATTTTCAGTTTAGAATTCTACAAGATAAGAAATTTTTCTGAAGCAGTCCTAGGTGGATGGAAATAATTGGGAAGCTTTTAGTAGTAGTATCGAAGATTGCCCTCATCTACGTAAGTTCCTAATTTCATAAACTTCTGGAATAATCATTTTCAGAATCACAAACAAAAGTAATAAAGTTCGATTAAATTTCACAGTTGCTCAAGATTTGAACTCGACGCTGTAAGATGGGACCTCCCTTTAACCACTAAACGCCTAAGAAAAGTACACCAGTGACGCGCACTAAAACGCATTTTAATTCGCGGGACGAGTTAAGACGGGACCGGGGGTCCCGTCTTAAGAATAAGAATCTATCATGTATTTCATATGTGTACATTATTTATTTCCTAGCTTCATTTCAGATTTATTTTCAGAAGTGGAAACCATTGGAAACCGTAATCAGACCCGATACTGCAACTTGTAAAAGTGAGTGTTGGGTAAAGTTCTCCATATTTCCCTCATCTTCCGATGACTTATACTCCGCAGTGCTCCCTTCCATAATACTTTTGGTATTGGTAGTTGCACTTGAGCGGAGTCCAGATTGTCGGAGCCTTTTTTGGCAATAGAGTCTGCCTTTTCATTACCATCATAGCCTTTGTGAGCTGGTATCCATCGTAGTAGGACCTGGTTGTCCATTGAATTGCTAGTTGGTTAAGCTCACTTATAGCCGTGCTGGTGCTTTTAGATTTGACTTTGATGTTGCTCATTGCCATTATTGTCGCCTGGCTATCGCAGTTTATGATTATTTTTCTAGTTTTGGTCCCAGATTCCCGTAATATTTTTGCCGCAGTGCCTACGGCAAAGGTTTCGGCCTGGAAGACGGTTGAGTTTATTCCTAGGTGGTATGACTCCTCACATGTGGGGTTGTCGTTGTCCACAATGTACACTCCTGCTCCAACTTTTTCATTCATTTTGGAGCCGTCTGTGTAACATTGTATATCTGTTTAAAAATAGCTTTCATTTCAAGACTCAGTGGAAGCAATTATTTCTAATATTACGCCCTCGACGAGTAAAGACGGGACCGCGGGCTCCCGTCTTAAGAATAAGAATCTATCATGTATTTCATATGTGTACATTATTTATTTCCTAGCTTCATTTCAGATTTATTTTCAGAAGTGGAAACCATTGGAAACCGTAATCAGACCCGATACTGCAACTTGTAAAATGAATCTCCTGTTTGCTCTGGATTCAAATGAAAGTGACAATTTTGAATAAAGGGTTTACTACTCACTGACCTTTGTTTCGTGTGATAGAATTAAAGTCAGTCTAACAACTGACTGTGAATACTATTAACGTTATTTGTAATGAACTTGAAGCCTAAATATTGTTTCAAGAGGGTATTATTGACGTATTCTATTGCGCTACTAAAACTAGAAATTATCGTCGCAACATCTCTTTCGTTCTAGCTTCACTCATTTTTTAAATTAGGTTAATGTGTACATAAAAATTATATTGTATTGTAGATAAGATATTCGGCTATCGGAGTAGAAGGTCAAAAAGCAAACAAAACTTTTAACAAAATATGATATTCGCAATTGAACTACTAATCTTTGACGCGTATTTGTTTAAAAAGTTGGTAATGTGCGGAGTCTTTTAATCATATTAACTATAAAATTCTACCAATTTTTATGAATCTTTTACAGTAATGTTTGCCAAATAATTTGCAATCACATTGTATCATTATTAATAACTCAAATAAAAAGTTGTTATTTTCATTCGGCTACAAAACGTTTCCTATCAAAATAAGCAATAAAACGTCCAAAGGAGGTCCCATCTGCGCGTGCCGGGGTGTTGTGATTCCGTCGCCAAAATTTTAAAATTCAAATATTTTAGACCACGCCCATTCAATATTAAAACACCTTTATTGTTCTTTCAGAACATGCTGGACGCCTATTTTTTTCAGAGACGGTAGATTATTAAATGTTGCATCTGATCTGAAAAAATGAAACAAAACGGATGAGAAATGACGAAGTCCAGTTAGGCCAAGCGACCTAAAGTGGGGTATTGGTCTATAATCGGTTCTAAATTAGGATTAGGCCATCCGTCTGTTTTTTCAGTATACAGATACTTAGGTAGACCAATAGTCCAGTTAGGCCAAGCGTCCTTTTAGGCCAGCAGACCGGGTACCACATACATAAAAGCGACATGCGGCCATATATGATATAATTAAGTAACTCCAATTTCTCGTTGGGGTTATTTAGGGTTTGAGCAGCGATGTATGCTTAAGCTTTAGGCCGGGATTGGGTTAGGATTTGGGTCGGGCCAGAACAGGGTGTTATAGTTATGAATTATCCGTCAGAGCCATCCACAAT